GCTCAGTCGGTTATGCAGCAAACTCCTGATTTTGGCTCAGGTCACATCTCAGGGTCACAGGATCGGCCCTGCATCAGTCTCTGTGCTCAGTATGGCGTCGGCTTGAGGATCTCTCTCCCCTTTTCCCTCTGCCCCTCCCCTGGCTCTCCTTCTCTCAAGTTAATAAAGAAATCTTTAAAAAAAAAAACCAAAAAAACAAAACAGGGACTAGCCGGGCGGCCCACCCATGGGAGCCCCCAGCAACCTCTCTGCATGACCCGACCCGCCCGCAGGTGAGCCGGGCCTGCCCAGGGTGGCTGCCTGCCAAACTTCCCAAGTGTCCACGGGACAGTCGGAGCTGCGAATCAGAGAGAAATGGTACTCTTTGCCATTTTCATTGAGGATCCACGTGGATGAAATTGGTGGACAGTATATAACAGCCCCTAATAACATCACCCACTTTGGTCCCACACACTGAGGTTTCAATTCTGGCCATGTGATCTTGGGCTTGTGGCTTAACCTCTCTGAACGTCATCTGGAAAAGCGGGACAGAATACCGATTTCACAGGTTGTCACAGGAGGAGATGAAATGAAAGCATTGACTCGGCATAGTGCCTGGAACATGGCAAGACCCCGTGAATCGTGGTTATTGTTACTGTCCCTAATGAACTCCAGGCTGGGGCTCATCGCTGACCGGAAGTTCTCGTGTAAGGCCACCATTAGTGCTAGATTCAATTTCTCTTTCCTTTTCCTTCCATTCTTCTCTCCCTTTCTTAAAAAAAAAAAAAAAATCCTTTTTGCCTGGAGTGACCTCTTGCAGGAAGTAAAATTAAAAGCATCAGATTCTATTATATTTGAACTAACAGTACTCACGTCAAGGAACCCAGCTAGAAGTGGTAAAGGCAGAATGGATTTTTTAAAAAATTGAAACCTAGACGTTCCCACCATGCCTGGGAAGCAGCAAGAGGCAGCAAGAGGCTTCAGTAGCCACACGGCTTTCCAGAGCTGGAGGAGAGGCCTTGGCCTGACTCACCGTTGCCCTGGCAACAGTAGGGCCCGGAGGCCTCCGTCCCTGATCCCTTAATCCGAGGAGCCTCCATGACTGTGCCTCTGGAAAGGTCTCCCACAGACACCTGGCTGGTTAAAGCTACCCTGACAGGAGGGACAGAGCAGAGATGGAGGTGGGGTTCTTGCTGGGAAGATGGCTGCCTCAATGTGCCTGTGATGGTACCAGCTTTCCAGATCCCCATAGGCTTGGTCGAGAGGACGAGGCTGCAGTCTTCAGCGCTGTCAAGGTGGTAGATGGCTTCCTCTTCCCTCTTTGGCCTTGGAGCCCAGGACTCCGCTTTGCACGTACTGATGTTTCCTCAGCACTGGGAGCTATAGGACAACGAGCATTCCCCAGGGCCCTGGACGCAGCCCCTCTGGCCCCCTCCACCCAACACACACCTGAGGGAGGAGGCAGCACAGACAGTAATTTCTCCAGCTGCAATGCCACAGACTTGACCCCGAGGCCTTTTTTGCCTCTAAAATTCTTTTTTATTCTCTTGCTCTGGTTGTAATGTTGGCAAATATATGGCTCAGAGCCTGTCTGGCTCAGTAGATCTACCGTTTCCTCAAAGTTTGTCCTGAGGATAGAATGAAGCAATCTGAAAGGAGGGCTGGCTTTCCTTTTCCAACGACCGTTCAGATCCCAGGGAAAGAGCGCGGCGGTCAGGCTCCTGGGTTTTGGAGGTGGAAAGGCCAGAGGTCGAATTCTGACTGTACCGTTTGGTTGCTGTGCGACTTTGGGTCTACTTAACCTCTCGGAGCCTCAAGCTCTTCACTGATCAAACGCGTGTGACATAAAGTCTTCAAAAGAAGCATTTGCTTCATGGCAATTACTCTTTCTGGTGCACAACTCCGTGGGGCCAATGGTGACTGACAAGACAGGAGTTTGAAAGTCTGGCCTTCTAGTTCAATGAAGGGCTCCCTAAGGAAACCCTGGGAAAGGGTGCCCCATCCCCAGAAAGGTGGGGTGCTGCCCACTGCAGGCTCTGGCTTGTGGCTGAGAGGTGAGTTTAAATCCCTGTCCGCTCTGGCTTCGAGACCAAGATGGAGTTGTCCGTGTGCTTTGAACGTCCTCACGCCGAAATACCGTTCTGCTTCAGCCTGTGGGGAACATTTCCTTCTCAGAGACTCATTCTTTCAGGTTCCGGCACTAGCCTACTACCTACCTGAACTTCCGTGTTTACTAAACCAAGTCGTCTTTAACCATGAGCTAATAATGAAATTAGCAATGTTTTATTGAGAACTTACTATGCACCAAGGTCTTTGCTATCTATCTATTCTGCATGTTAGGGACGCCTCAGGACAATGGAAGGCTCATTATCCCCACTGAAAAGATGACGAGGTGGACGTTCCGTTAATTAACTGGTTCGAGGCCATACAACGGTCAAGTGTAAATGCACATCTGTTGGACTCTGGAGTCAGTCTATGCTCTAGTGACCGTCCTCTGATAGCTGTTGGCCTCTGGTGCACCGGAGATTATGGTGGATGGGAAGTGAGAATCACGATTGGGCCAGGGAGTTGGGATGAGAGGAGGACACCTTGGAGTTCAGGGTCCCTGGGGGACAGAGGCATGAAGAGGGGGTTAGAGCCAAGGGAGGGAAGGTAGGATCACAGAGAACCCTCTGCAGCACAGTTCTGCACAAGAAGTACCAGTCTCTGTATTTAACCCTTTACAACCAGATTTTGAGAAAAAGAAAGGCTCACCATTCCTACGTGAGCCACAATGGCCCGAGGATGTCCTGGTAACCATGTGTAACGAACAAAGTCACTGTGACCTCCCCGGACCACTGTGGTCTCCTTCTCGTCTAAACATCTCCAGCACCCTCTGGTCCTCAAATTCCTGGACTAGTAGAGGTTTTGGGCTGCAGTGGCTGTCCACCAAGTATCTCCAAATACCTCTCCTGACATCTCTTCTGGGCTTTCGATGTGCCGGTGTGGCCAAGGACCATTTCCTCTGTCACCCCTGCAACCTCCAGCCACTGGTTCCATGGTCTGTGGCCTGCCCATTGCACCTGGCTGGCTCACCCAGACGGCAGACCATGGCCAGTTTCCGGCCCGTCGGCCTCAGTCTCCTGGCCCCAACTGCCTCACGCCTCTTCCCTGCTCCGCAGTGGTTTCCCGCACACACTCAAACCAAACTCTACAGTTGTGGGAGATCCCAGATCCAAGACCCTCTGTGCATGCCGAGTCCGCCTCAAGCCAACCTCCTTGACCTTGGTTTTCTACATAAACCCTTTCTCCAGTTCTGCGGGTGTCATTAGTTACTGCTTCTTCACACAGGAGCCCACTTTCCACAAGCTCCCCCTTTAAGAATCCCTGCATGGACAAGGCCTTGCCCATCTTCCCCATCTTTGGAATCCTCCTCAGCCCAAAGGATTCCCCACTCTGACACCCCACTCCCCCGAGAAGGGGTTCTGACGTCTCCAGGCTCTTCCTCCTGTGGTGGACAGAGCACCCATCCCACTCATGGCACCTCTGGTTTACTGCACACAGTGTCACCGCCTGGCCCTGGGTCAGGTTCTGCAGCCCAGGACCCAGACCAGCCTTGCCAGCCCCCATCCCAGCCCCGGCCCGCCCCTCCTCCCCCTGCTTGCTCTGCCTACCAGCCTTGCAGACAATTTTCAGGGAACAGAGAAGTCCCATCCTTTCAAATGTGACACCTTGAGCATCACTTCCCTTCTCTGTGCGTCTCTATAAAGGAGGCGATTGGTGACCTCTTGGTCTCTTCCCAGTCAATAATATGGCACCTTCGCTCTTAAATTCTTTTCTCAACTCCGTAATTACGCTGTCCACTCCTCTCCGCCCTCTGACTCATGACTTAATCTTCCTCCCTTCAGTAGTCCTTGTCTCTCCAGCTCTTCTCCCTGTTTTCAGCCCAAGTCTGGCCTCCCCAGGCCAAGGAGGCTGAGCCTGGCCCTCCGCGGGCCTCCAGGAATTGTCCCTTCCGATGGTCCGAATTCTCTCCGGGTCACAGTGGAGCCCAGCAGGGTGAGGGTGAGTCACTCTGGCCAGTGTCATGCGCCCTCGGTTTCTCTTTCTAGGCCTCACTGGAGGGCCACTGGACACGAACCAGTCCCTAGACCTAGGGTGCATCTGCGCATTTGACAACTCCAAAGAGGGTAGCTTTGGTGCACAACATATACATAAAAAAAGGTCTCACTGGAGCCTTTTGTGCTTTCCCCAACGACTAGCACCAGGGGCCTCCGCACCCCTTCCCCACCCCTCCCTGTGCCCCCCTGCACTCCGGGCCATGCCACCGCACCCCGAGCTGCATTCCAAGCTGTCAGGGAAGTCGGCCTGGCCCTGGGGGAGGCATGTAGCTTTTGCAGTTGAACCGTGTAACTGTCTCCCCAGAGCATTCCAAACCTCCCCGACCATCGACCATCGTCAACTGCGCGCCCTGTTCCCCCTTAAACCGCCCCCCCACCCCGTCCTCCCGGCAGCCAGCAGGGGCCGCCCTTCCGTGCACCCATTCACTACCTCAAGCTCGGCAGCGCCCGTCTCCTCCTTGACCTTATAATCCGTGGGATCTGCGCCCCCACCGCCGCCCAACACGGGAAAGGAGCACAGAAGAGGGGCTCAAGGGAACCTGGCAAGCGACACTAGGCACAGGTCCCTCGGCCACCTTCTCAAGCCCTCCCCTTCAAAACCAAACAAAAACGGCAAACAGGAAACGCTCGTCTTTTAAAAATTACTCTATTATTATCAAATAGAACCACAGTATCCAAAAGGTAATTATAAAGTTCTAGTCCCCAACTAAGTGGCCCTGCACCGCCCCTCCGAGTGGCCGGCGGCCAAATCACTCCCCCCGTGCTGATTGGTTTCATCCATTTTATTGTCAAGGAAATTAACAGCCCGAAGGGGTTCCCCAGGTCCGCGCACTCCCCCCACCCGGGTAAACACGGCAGCAAGCGACCTGGTCTCACTACCCCGGGGTCCTTGGGAGGAGGGACGAAAGGAGGGGAGGGGGGCTCACAGCAAAGGGGCTGGGGGCGCCCCGGCCCCGCCCGCCCGGCTGGGGCCTCGCGGCGGCCGGCAGGTGTCCCGGGGCGGGCCGGGCGGCGGCGGCGGGGGCGGCGGGCGCGCTCACTCGCCCGTGTGGGTCCGCAGGTGGTACTTGAGCGACTGCTTGTAGCGGAAGCACTTGGCGCAGTGCGTGCAGGGGTAGGGCCGCTCGCCCGTGTGCGCGCGCTGGTGCTCCAGCAGGTGGTGCTTCTGCGTGAAGCGCTTGCCGCACTCGGCGCAGTGGTAGGGCCGCTCGCCCGTGTGGATGCGCCGGTGCTCGAGCAGGTGGTGCTTGCGGATGAAGCTCTTGCCGCACTCGGGGCAGGCGTGCGGGCGCTCGCGCGAGTGCACGCGGCAGTGGTTGGTGAGCTTGGACTTCTCGCTGAAGCTCTTCTCGCACTCGGGGCACTTGAAGGGCCGCTCGCCCGTGTGAGTCCGCTGGTGGCGCAGCAGGTGCGACGGGCGGCTGAAGCTCTTGCCGCACAGGCTGCAGATGAAGGAGACCTCGTGCTTGCCCGCGTGCACGCGCTGGTGGATCACCAGGCTGATGTGCAGGCGGAAGCTCTTCTTGCACTCGGGGCACGTGTAGGGCCGCTCGCCCGTGTGCGTGATCTGGTGCTTGGTCAGGCTCGACTTGTGGCTGAAGCTGCTGTCGCACTCGGGGCACTTGTAGGGCTTGGGGCCGCCGCCGCCGCTGCCCGAGCTGGGCGACTTGGGGCGCGGCTTGAGCGCGTGCTTGGGGGCGAAGCCGGGCGCGCGCTCGGGGGACGCGTAGCCGCCGCGCACGCGGTGGATGCGCTGGTGCAGCGTGAGCTGCTGCTTGTGGCGGAAGCTGATCTCGCACTCGGCGCATTCGTACGGCCCCTCCTTGATGTGGTTGCGCTGGTGGATGATGAGGTTGATCTTGAGGCGGAAGCTCTTGCCGCACTCCATGCACGTGAAGGGCCGCTCGCCACGCCGGTTCCGCTGCTGCTGGCTCGACGGGCCGCGGCTGTCGCCCAGGTGCCGCTCCCCGTGCGCCGGCGGCGCCAGCCTCTTCCCCGCCGGCTTGCCCAGCTGCAGCGGCGGGGGGCTCTCCTCGCCCTCGGGGGACAGCTCCCCGGGCAGGGGCGTCTGGTACATGGCGGCCTCGTAGCGCCCGGACAGCGGCCCCAGGGCCTGCAGGTGCCGCGGCAGCTCCTCCTCCTCCTCCTCCTCCTCCTCCTCCTCCTGCTCCTCGGTTTTGATCACGATCCCCTCTGCTCCAGGGACAGGGAGAGAGGAGGACACACGTCAGCGGCGGCCCAGGGGCCTGCACCCGGGACGGAGGCAGGTGCGGCGGCCTCACCTTGGCAGCCGCGCACATTCCTGGCCCCTTGTGGGAAAACCCTCCCCTCCGCTCCCCGCGGCCCGCACTTTGCCGGCCTCGGGCTCGGTTCAGGAAGGAACCCTCTCTGGGAACCCTGTGCGGCATAGAAGGGGCATGCGGCCCTGCCTGTGCTCATGTTCCGGAGCGGGTGGTGAGCAGCTGCCCACAGGGGCCCCCGGGGGGGGGCACTCGGGCCCACGGTGCCTACCAGTCACCACCCGACACGGACCCTCCCTTTTCCACTGGAGCTACCGGAGGGCTGACTCCTCAGGCTCTAAGGCCTCCTCTACCCCAAATCCGGCAGCCTCCCAGGTCTGTGGCTTTCCGGAAGGCACCTGCGGGTTTCTCCCCAGGTGTCTACTCCCCCTCCTCCAGCCATCTCCCCCTCCTTTCCCTGCCTTCAGATCGCACAGGCCACATACCACCCAGCTCCAGTTCCGGCTCTGCCCTTAAATCTTCCTTGACTGTCCCAAAGTGCAGCCCTCAACCACTCCCGAGCCATCAGCACTCACTGGGGTGCCTGCCCAGGGCTTAGGACCTTGGCCTCACCTGCAACACGACACCCACACAGGTGGTCACCTGCTGTGACCCTACCAAGTCTGAAGCTAGGGCCAAGGTTTCTCCTGCCTTTCCCCCAGCCTTGGGTGTGCGGTCCCTCCCACCCAGGAAGGGTTCCCTGCATACAACTGTAGGATGTCCTCCTCCTCCCTGGCTCTGTCCTCTGGGCTGGCCCTTCAGGGCCCAAGATGTTAGCTGTTCTACATGGTGTTCTAGAGTGTTTCCCGAGAATGTTAGTCCTAGAGAAAAGAAATGCCCTCTGACTTCTGTTTGCATTTTCTTAAATGCCTTGTACTTATGTACTCCCTAAACACGGCTACTTGAAGAGCTCTGTTTTTAGTCACTGTGTGACACGAGAAAGGCACTCCCTTCTCTGAGCCCCTGTCAGATGGAAGCTGCTGTTACAGTCTGCTTTTGCAGAATTCTTAACAGCAAATGAATGAGAACTTTTCCAGGTCTCGCCTGAGAGCTTGTTGTTTTATTCACAATCTCTTATGGGATAAGCCAAGCAAGGATTAGCCCCATTTCACAGACATGGGGCCTCCAAGCCCAGAGATACCTAGTGATCGTTCCAAATTAAGTAAGTAAAGCCAGACCTCTTCAAAGCTTCTAACTTAGGGACCATCTAGTCTGTCCCCTCAATTGCCAGGGAAACAAGCTGGTGGTGTGCATGAACTGGCCCAGGTCTTACAAAGTAGCCGGTAGTGACCACTGGGCCTTGGGACTTCCTCTTGCTCCTCGGAACCCAAGAAACAGTAGGGTCACAGTTAGGAAACAGATGTCCCAGTCCCAGCTCAGGCCTCTCGTCACAGCCAGCACTGCCTGGGCCCTGTTAGGATTCTCAGCAAGGGACGCAATCCAGGATGCAAAATCCCACCAAGTACCATGCAAACTTTCCTGAGGTCCCACTAGAATGAAGGCCCAGAGGGCAGGCTGACATTTCTACTTGAGGCCCCGCCGCAGCTCAGCCTCACGATGTGCCCTGCACCTTCCCCTGTTTTACAGAGACAGCCTGTGGATTAAAATGCTTTTGGGGGTATCATGTGGTTATTCAGAAGCAAGGGGTTAGATCCACATCTTTGACCAAGCAAGACATCTGCGATATCTTATGAAGTGCGGAAAGGCCACCTGCAAAGGGATTCTCTACAGGCAAAATGAAAAAATGTAAAAAGTCATCAGCACAGGGGCACCTGGGAGGCTCAGTCGCTTAAGCGTCTGCCTTCGGCTCAGGTCATGATCCCAGGGTCCTGGGATCGAGCCCCGCATCAGGCTCCATCCCCGCATCGGGCTCCCTGCTCAGCGGGAAGATTGCTTCTCCCTCTCCCATTTCCCCCTGCTTGTGTTCCTCTGTGTTAAATAAAGTCTCACAAAAAAAAAAAAAAAACCAAAACAAACAAAAAAACCCCAACAACAACAAACCATCAGCACCATACTTCTAAAAACCTATTAAATAAAATGGATGTGGATACCTTTCTATGACCAATAGTATAGTATCAAAACTGCTATGATAATTAATGGCTCTTTAGCACGTAAAGAAAACATCTAAACAAAAAACGAAAACCTAAGTGAAGTGTGTTCCTTAAACATTTGGTAGAATTCACTTAATTCCTATCTTATACATTATTTTCAGAATATAGAAAAAAAGAGAAAAAGCTTCCCAGTTCACCTTCATATAAGTTGAGTACAATCTTATTTCCAAAACTAGATGGGGGTGATTCAGGAGAGCGTCAGGCTGATTTCATTTATGACTACAGCTGAAAGCCCCTGTATGGATGGCAGCTCACTGAATTTCATGCTGTAAATGAAACGTACGCTGTGGTGACCAGATCGGGCTTCTCTCAGGATGGAAAGGACTGTTCAGCGTCAGACAATCAGCCACAAAAGATGTCCTGAGGTTAGGCCGCTGAGAGCCTACTTCATCCTTGTTCTTGAACTCACACGGAGCCAAAAGTGTGCAGGAGGGTGACCCAGAGGTTTTATAATTAAACGTGAGTGATGGCCAGATCGTACCAGGAAGAGACTATACAGTCTGTTATTTTAAAACACATGCCTGGCTAGGGCTAAGCTCTCTGGGTTACTGGGACTTCTAATGTGACCTAAGAACTATCAAGAACGTAGCAGAGGGGCGCCTGGGGGGCTCAGTGGGTTAAGCCTCTTTCTTTGGCTCAGGTCACGATCTCTGGGTCCTGGGATCAAGCACAGAATCAGGCTCTCTGCTCAGCAGGGAGCCTGCTTCCCTGCCCGCCGCCCCCACCCGCCGCCTGCCTCTCTGCCTATTTGTGATCTCTCTCTCTCAAATAAATAAATAAAAGTCTTTAAAAAAAAAAAAAAGAACATAGCAAAAATGGAAGTTCTAGCCTCGCCATAACGGCATGACCTTGGGCAGTTTGTCTGATCTTCTCTGTCTGTAGAAGGAGGGAGCTGGAGAGGTGATCTCGGAGATCCCTTTGGGTCTGCATCTGACTTGGTCTTTGGCTGTAATACCTTCTTCCAAGCCCAGAGACAGACTCTTATAAATCGGAGGCAGGAAACCTGCCCCCGAGGCCGTGCCCGGGGTTGTCACACCTGTCGACCCGTTAAGGTCAAACGACCCTGTCTGAAGGGAAGCCCAGCTTTCCCACAAGGCAGGGGCCTGTCTGCAGGCCTCACGGTAGCAGCTCCCCCGCAGCCCGCACCCCCGCCAACTGACCTGCGCAGCTTCTCTGCTGCACCAGCATCTGTTTGAGCTCGCTGAACTCACTGGAGCCTTCCGTGGACTCCTCCAGCGCGTTCTCCTGTTCCTGCATGTCCAGGTCCGGCTGCTCTCCGCACGGGTCACCCAGCTCCGAGTCCTGGAAGCCGTGCTCTTCCACCTGCCCCATCAGGGGCTCCGGCGTCTCCAGACTCTCGGAGCCCTCGTCGTTGGTCTGCACCTCGATCTTGATCACGATCCCGTCGTGTGCTACGGAGGCGGGGGGGGGGGGGGGGTGGGGAGGGGGAGAGGACAGAAGAACCCAGAACGCGTTCATTGCACGAGGTTTCTGCAGCCTAGGATTTATATCTCAAAAATTCTCATTTTAGAGACCAGGAGGAACTATAATGCGGGGTCGAGTGAGCAGACACAGAAGTTTCTTGAACATCAGTACAAACTGGAGTAAAGTGAAAATAGATGTGGAGTTTGTATTCCACGACCCCCTACAATTTTAAAAACAGTATTATCAGGTTTTGTTTGTTTGTTTTTTTGAACAAACGGGATCTTAATTCCATTTCCTGGGTCAGGCCAGTCAAAGTCAGCAGACAGTTTTCCCTCACTCACGGTCAAGGTGAATAATGAAAAGGCTAGTCACCTCCTCACCCTGCACACCTTCCTAGCCCAGGCCCCTGAGGTCTGATTCAGACAGGCCGGACACCCCCGAACCCCTTCCCGGCCCACAGTTACAAGCACGCGCGCACACACACACACACACACACACACATGCACTTGGAGCTCTCAGCTTTGTTTTAAAACAGCCTCTGATTACACATGTTGCCCCTTTTTTTTTTTTTTTTTAATTTGCCCATAGGTCTACAGGTAACTTCTCATGTCAACACACATGGGCATCATTTGACACAAATGGGACTTAGCACGTAATCTTTTAGCGCGGCATTTTTTCTCTTTTGATTGGCCCTCCTCTTCCCCTCCCTTCCCATTTCACAGCTGTGACCTGCCCAGGTCAGCCCTGTCAGCAACCTAGCATTTTCCTCTACACTTTTCTAGGGATTTATGGCAAACATTTACGTCTGTTTTTATTTTCTGGCCATTATTAGTTTTAAAAAAAATGGGCATCTACACAGTCCTCTCCATCTGCTTCCTCACTTAGCTGTCTTGTAGAAATCGCTGCAAAGCAATTCTGTAGGCCACCGCCTTCCTCCCCAGTGCTGTCCGCAGCCCGTGGTGAGGTGAGCAGCGTGTCCCACCGTCCCCTCCAGAGGAACCGGCGCTGTTTTGTTCGGGCCCCTTGCATGCTGAACTATCCCGCAATCACAGGTGGATTTACATGTCTCACTATAAAATAGGGGTTTGATTTCCATGCGAGTCCTGGGAGTGGGGCCGTAGAGTCAAAGGTTTGGTTATTTTTAATCTGATAGATGTCATGAGCCGCTCTTGAACAAGGTTGTGACAATACATGTTTCTACCAGCCCCGCGGGAGCCCAGCCTCCTCCCCACCTCTCTGCTGGAGACAGACGCCACTGCTCTTTCATATTTTCCTCAGTCAGACGGGTGTACATTGGTAATTTTCTGATACTTTAATCCCACTTTCCTGACGAGGGTCATCGAATATTGTTTCTTTTCCTTGTTGGCCTTTTCAAGTTGATTCCATATCAACTGTGTTCTGTTCTCGTCAACTGGTGAGAGTTCTTTGGTTCTTGTGCTAAAGATAACCCGTTTTCTCTTATCAGCATTTCAAACAGTCCCCAGATCTAGCATCTGTCTGTTGACTCTGAGCCATTGCTTATCAGAATACTTTCTTCAAGTCTTCCCGTGGTCACACATGTCTGTGTCTTTTTTTTTTTTTTAAAGGTTTTATTTATTTATTTGTCAGAGACAGAGGGAGAGAGAGCGAGCGAGCACAGGCAGACAGAGAGGCAGCCAGAGGCAGAGGGAGAAGCAGGCTCCCCGCCGAGCAAGGAGCCCGATGCGGGACTCGATCCCAGGACGCTGGGATCATGACCTGAGCCGAAGGCAGCCGCTTAACCAACTGAGCCACCCAGGCGTCCCGTCTGTCTGTCTTTTATGGCTTCTGGGTTTTCTTCGTTAAGACGGTCTCCTCTGCTCCTGGATGGCTCACAGGGTCTCCTAGAGTGTGTCTCAAGCTTTTTATTGCTTTATTATATACATTAAGGTCTTTGCTCCATCTGAAATTTATTTTTATTTTGTGTGGAGTGTGAGGTAGGGGTTCAGCTTTACTTTCTTCCGCGTGGAGAGAGCTGTGCCAGCAGAAACTCCCTCACAGCTTGAAAATCACTTTGTTTTTTTGTTTGTTTGTTTTTAAAGATTTTATTTATTTATTTGACAGACAGAGATCACAAGTAGGCAGAGAGGCAGGCAGAGAGAGAGGAGGAAGCAGGCTCCCCGCTGAGCAGAGAGCCTGATGCGGGGCTCGATCCCAGGACCCTGAGATCATGACCCGAGACGAAGGCAGAGGCTTAACCCACTGAGCCACCCCAGCGCCCTGAAAATCACTTTGTTAATGAAGGAAATTATAAACGTGTAATGCATCAGCAGACGCATTTATTCCTTCACTGAATTCACTGAAGCACCGGTTACTTACTGAGCACCAACTATGTGCGACGGGGTATTCTAATGACGTGGGAGACACCGGTGAGCATAAGAGAGCTCCCCACCCTCATACACCTTACCCAACGCAATAAACAGAATTAATACATTGTATGGGGTGTCCGAAGGTGGTAAGTGCTGTGGAAAGAGGAAAGACACCAGGAACCTCGGAAACTAACCCAAGCGTCAGTGCCCATGGGAAGCCTGACCGCTCTCAACCACGCCCACTCGTGATCCCCAAGCTAAAAGCCGGGAAACCAGACCCACCCAGCAGGCGGGCAGCTGATGCCACAGGACCCGAACTGGGTTCTCCTTGGTGCCCGGCAATCCTTTCATTCTCCTCGGACCTGCCACCCAATCTCCTGCCGGCGGCCATGGGGAGCAGAATATAAAGCAGCTGGGACGGTCCCGTCGCCTTGGCCACAGCCTTAAACCTGGACCCTGCCTGCCTTCCCCTACAACCAAGTTTCCAAAACCTCTTCCTCCTATTCTCGGTCTCACAAGAAAGATGAGGTCACCCTCCCTCACTTCCTTGCTCGCTCCTGTTCCAGCTCCAAGTCACCCCGCTGACTCCCCTTTTCTCTCCCACCTGGGGAGGCACCACGGTGACGGTGATGCCTCTGCTCACTGCCTTAGCTGCCCCGTTCCTGGGGCCATCGCACTCCCCCTGCAGTGCCCGCCTCTCGGTCTGCAATCCCTACAGCCCTACAGCCACCAGCACAACCGGGACCCCAGCACCATAAAAATGCCTTCCCTCGCTTCACAAACTTCTGAAGATATTTTGGTCGCCTCCTCCCTCAAAAGCGGTTTTCAAAAACGAAGCACCCCTTTGCACTTTTTTGAGTAAACATATAAAACCCTTCAGTAACTGCAAAAGATGTCATTTCTGGCGTACTGTAAATATTGATGGTTTGAAATAAACTCTTCCATCACTCTTGAATGTCGCCAGTGGGATCTGAGAACGGCAGCACTTTTCGACCCACTATTATTCACTTAAAACCTACACGAACAAATTCTTCTTTGATAGTTGAAATTTTTATATCATTCCTTTTCACCCTGAACTTCTATTTCCATTCCCACTTTGCCCACTGAATTTTATCCCAATAGAACATCTTTTTATGCTGAGAAGCCTTTTACTGATCTCCTGGTCTACCACTCTGCTGCAAAAATGTGTATGTAAATTGAAAGATTAATTTTGCTTTCATTTCTAATAACCATGGGGCTCTAAGTGTTGACTGTTTTCCTGTCTTAAGTTATCCTTCGTTATTAGTAGTATATAATGATACACAGATACTCAAGATAGAAAACTAAAAATTTGTTGGAAACAGCTCTTATGATGATGGAGAGGAATTTTTTGTCCCCTAATTAGTTTGCTTATCAGAGAATGAATATTCTTATCACATGACTGAGACAAGAGTTCAGAATCAAATCTGTTCCTATTTTTCATTTTCATAAATACAAGCATTGGCAAAGCTCATTTACATAGACATATAGATGGGCTGGCAGGGGCTCTGTTGTGGAATCGTCACTTGATTCTCTGAATTTGCTCTGAATTATAATGCTATGAAAGCACATGGTTAACATAGCATCAAAAGTTGTTTCTAATGACCTATTAGCTGACAACTTAATTAGGTTCTCTTTCAATTTTGTTGAAAGCAAAGTATTTCAAGGGATCTAACTTGCAAAAGAATTTGCCATCCAGGGGCGCCTGGGTGGCTCAGTGGGTTAAACCTCTGCCTTCCGCTCAGGTCATGATCTCAGGGTCCTGGGATCGAGCCCCACATCGGGCTCTCTGCTCAGCAGAGAGCCTGCTTCACCCACCCCCGCCGCCTACTTGTGATCTCTCTCTGTCAAATAAATAAAATCTTAAAAAAAAAAAAAAAAGAAAGAAAGAAAGAATTTGCCATCCAGGCCCCAGGGCGCTGCATTTGCGGTCACGTGCCCCTACGGTCTGGACTGTCTCCGTAACCCAGAGGGCTTTTTATACATCGGAGAACTACTCCCTTGTAAGATGGGGACCGGGGAGGGGTGCGGCTGATGAGGACGGGCTGCATGTGTTGGGTGCCTTCATTGATGAGTTTTATGAATGAGAACAGATTAACTAAGGACTTACTGAACCCTCAAAGCCATCTATGTCATGTCCCTCTTGGGAAGTCTCTGTGCGCCTCTAGGGGCATTGGTACTCCAGCTGGAGACCGCTGCCCTTCAGGACCCGCCCCTCCTTCGAGAGCTCACTCGGCCAAACCTCTTACGATGCTCTCAGCTGCACAGAACTGTGCCCCTCTCCATGGTGTTCACCTTTCCTTCCCCTTGCAAGGTGCTGCATTTACTCATCTGCATGCGTCTCCTCCATTTGTTAGACAGCAGGGAAGCCAGTGGTCTCCCACCAAAAAGGTTTCCCCACCCCACACAACTTTTGAAAGAGCACTGACACCCCGACTGCATTTCTAAGCAGCGACTTGTTCTCTCATTAAAAAAAAATTAAAGACACGTATATTGCAGGACTACAGTTTATGATCAAAGGTAGAACTTCAAGCCACTGGGGAAAAGTTTTCAATAAATGGGGTGGGAATGAATGGATGGAGGGGTGACAACTCGCGTCACATCAAAGTAAATTACTGATGAAACAAAAATTTAGACGCAAA